TTTTTTTTTTTTTTTAGTATTCGTCATTTTTGAGATCAGGAAATAAAAATAAAGATGAAAGATGAAAGAAAAATTCTGGTGCCAAGAAGGAAGATAAGTGCTCCGCGAATATTGATAAATGAAGATACCATGATTCCCAAATACCAGTTATCGTTTAAAAGAAAAAAGTCCAGGGGCGCCTGGGTGGCGCAGTCGGTTAAGCGTCCGACTTCGGCCAGGTCACGATCTCGCAGTACGTGAGTTCGAGCCCCGCGTCAGGCTCTGGGCTGATGGCTCGGAGCCTGGAGCCTGTTTCCGATTCTGTGTCTCCCTCTCTCTGCCCCTCCCCCGTTCAGGCTCTGTCTCTCTCTGTCCCCCCAAAAAATAAATAAATGTTGAAAAAAAAAATTTAAAAAAAAAGAAAAGAAAAGAAAAAAGTCCATAGATTCCATTCCCAAAGTTCTTACCACTAGAACATTCATAAAATAGCCTCCCATCAGAGCATAGACTCCTCCTGAAGCACCCACAAGATATCTGAGTGGGTCGAAAATGGAGCTGGCAAGGGACCCTAAAGAAAGAAAGACACAAAGGATCAGACATAACCGTAAGAATCATGAAAAACAAATCTATAATGTAGAAGTTGGGACATTTGGACCATTACCATATTAACAAGCAACAAATTTATTCTGTTTGTCCCTTCCATACTATAAAGGTATAGACGTGTGGGCTAACTACCTCCATTTTTTCTGAAATATTAAACAACATGAAGACAGAATAACAAGAACAAAAAGCACAGACTCTGGAGCTCTGGAGCCAGAATTACCAGCTGTGTGGCTTGAGCGAGTTTCTTAACCTCTCTGCGCCTTCGTTTCCCTAAAAAATGGAGATATTAATAGAACTTACCTCAATGCATTTTCGGGGAAGTAAATTAGTTGATGTAAACACTGCATGACGTGTTATGTACTTATTGGTTATTGTTTCAAAATATTGCATACCTTTAGCCAAAACTATCAAAATACCTGAGACATTCCAACATTTTTTAAAATGTTTGTTTACTTTTGAGAGAGAGAGAGAGAAAGCAAGAGGAGCAGAGAAAGAAGGGAACAAGCTCTGCCCTGACAGCAGGGAGCCTGGTGCAGGGCCCAAACTCATGAACCCAGAGATCATGCCATGAGCCGAAGTCGGACACTCAACCGACTGAGCCTCCCAGGCTCCCCGATATTCCAACATTTTGTTATCTAATGGCTAGCTTTCTCATGGAGTCAAGATGTGGCCTCGGAACCCTTCTCAACACAGCATTCAATCAGATCCACCAAGAAAGACGAAACTGTTTACTAACCCAAACAAGGCTTTAAAACCATTTTATGCAAAATCTAAGATGTTCTCTCTGTACCGCTCGGTTCTACTACTCGATTTTTTGCTTTGAAGACTTGCCTTCATTCCTTAAGATACTATGTAATACCTACTTCGTGCAAGAAAGACAAAGTGGCCTTAGGAATCCTACAAACAGGGGAGTAAACAATTACCATAAGGTGCAGAATAAAACAACTACTGTGATTTCTTAAATGTAATGAATTTGCTATGGAAGCACTTAGGAAGGAATGATTCTTTCAGCAGAGGTGTGGAGGCCCTGGCACTCTGAGAAGGAGGAGATAACATTTTGGTTAAACTCTAAAATATCTTTGGGGCGCCTGGGTGGTTCAGTCGGTTAAGCACCGACTTCGGCTCAGGGCATGATGTCACTGTTCGGAAGTTCGAGCCCCACATCAGGCTCTGTGCTGACAGCTCAGAGCCTGGAGCTTGCTTCAGTTTCTGTGTCTCCCTCTCTCTCTGTCCCTACCCTGCTAGCATTCTGTCCCTCTCTCTCTCTCTCTCAAAAATGAATAAATGTTAAAAAAATTAAAAAAAACAAACAAACCCTAAAATACCTTTAAGATTTGGAAGGAAAACAAAGGAGGAGAAAATATTCAGAACTTAGGGAACTGGGAAAGCAAAGGCATAGAAACAAAGTATATGGATGACTAAAGATCATTGAGTCCAGTAGGGTTAGGGCAGTGGTCCTCAAATGTTAACCTTCAGACTAGGATTGGAGTGATTGCATCTTAATCACATGAGTAATTTATTTTTAAAATACAGATACAGGGCACCTGGGTGGCTCAGTCGGTTGAGCGTCAGACTTCTGGCATAATCTTGCGGTTAGTGAGTTACAGCCCTGCATCAGGCTCACTGCTGTCAGGGCAGAGCCCACTTCGGATCCTCTGCCCCGCCACCACCACCACCCCCGCTCATGCTCTCTCTCAAAAAATAAAATAAAATAAAATACAGATACAGGGGTGCCGGGGTGGCTCAACTTGTTACATGACCTACTTCAGCTCAAGTCATGATCTTATGGTTCGTGGGTTCGAGCCTCATATTAGGCTCTGGGCTGGTGGCACAGAGCCTGCTTGGGATTCTCTCTCTCTCTCTCTCTCTCTCTCTCTCTGCCCATCCCCCACTCAGTCACTCTCTCTCTCTCAAAATAAATAAACTTTGAAAAAATAAATAAAATAAAATACAGATACAAATGTCCACTTCTGCCATGATGGAGTAACAAGGATAAGATTTTCTCTCCTTCTTGAAACAGCTAAAAGCACTGGACAAAATGAAACAGTGATCTCCAAAATATTGGACATCAGATGAGAAAGGACAGTAAACCCTCAGAGGCAAGAAATAAATGAGGTGAATTTTCCAATCGCCCAGCTTACTGCCTTGAGAGAGAGGATTACAGGCTATAATGTGTGAAGGGGGAATCCAGGTAGATCTCAGTGAACTTTAAGTTGATGAGATAGAGTTTGAAGTCCAGATAGTAGGGTGCCTGAGTGGCTCAGTAGGTTGAGTGTCCAACTTTGTCTTAGGTCATGATCTCACAGTTCAAGGGTTCGAGCCCCATGTTGGACTCTGCACTGACACCTTGGAGCCTGCTTCAGATCCTCTGTCTCCCTCTCTCTCTCCCCCTCCCCTGTTCACATTTTCTCTCTCTCAAAAATAAATAAACATTAAAAATAAATAAATAAGGGGCACCTGGGTGGCTCAGTCAGTTAAGCATCAGACTTCAGCTCAGGTCATGATCTCATGGTTCATGGGTTCAGACCCCACATCGGGCTCTGTGCTGACAGCTCCAGCTTGGAGCCTGCTTCAGATTCTGCATCTCCCTCTTTCTCTGCTCCTCCCCTGCTCTCACGTGCTCTCTCTCTCTCTCCCCCCCCCTCAAAAATAAACAGTAAAACAAATATTAAATAACTAAAAAATAAATAAAGTCCAGATAGTGCTAGGCAGCTGGAATTTGCAAGAGAGACCACCAGAGAGGAAAAGAGCTACACAGAGAGAAGCATGTGAGGAAATTACCTGAGCCAAGGAAAGTTCCACCAGAAAGGAGTAAAAGGAAGAGTAAGTAGCTTTGCTCTCACAGCACCAGAGAGGCTAAGTAACTTTCCAAGCTAGAAAACTGCATAATTCTTGGGGCATTGGTTAAAGTACACAGAAGAGTCCTGCACCAGTAGTGGGTAATAGCACTAAACATGACTCAAAAACACAGTTTCACCTTGCAAATCTTATCAAGGTTTCAAACTACTTCCAAGTAACCGTGTTCCAGAACACATTCAAGGAATATTTATAGGAATACAGTAATATTCACCATCCAAAGGTTAAATATCTAGCATCCAAACAATAACTATCAGACATGCAAAGAAACAGGAAACTACGACCCATAATGAAGAGAAAAATCAATCAATTCAAACCTCCCCAAACTGACACAAGTGTAAGTTTTAGCAGATAATGCTAATAAATAATTATTACAACTGTATACCATATGTTCAAAAGTTAAGTAGAGACATACAAGATATAAAACACTCAAACTTTTAAAGATGAAAACTACAGTGTCTTGGGGCACCTGGCTGGCTCAGTCAGAAGAGCATGTGACTCTTGATCTCAGGGTCATGAGTTCGAGCCCCACACTGGGTGTAGAGATTAATTATGTACATAAATAAATAAAACTTCCTTTAAAAATAAAGAAAACTGTAATGTCTAAGATGAAAAGAAAATAAACTGGTTGAGTTTAATTACAGATTAGACATTGCAGAAGAAAAGATTAGCAAACATGAAGATATGGCAGTAAAAGCATCCAACATGAAACACAGAGAATAATATTTTTAAAAAGAAATATAGCATCAATGATCTGTGGGTCGATTTTAAGCAGCCTATTAAATACATAATTAGAGTCCCCAAAGCAGAGGAGAGAAGTCACGTACAGAAAAAATAATTGAAGAAATTATGGCCAAAATGTTTCCAAAGTTTTATAAAAACTATAAACCCACCAATCCAAGAATCGCAACAAATTCTAAGCACTGGAAACATGAATAAAACTACACCAGGTCACTACAAAGTCAAATTGTTCAAAAGCAGTGGAAATCTTTTTTTTTTTTTTTTAATTTTTTTTTTCAACGTTTATTTATTTTTGGGACAGAGAGAGACAGAGCCTGAACGGGGGAGGGGCAGAGAGAGAGGGAGACACAGAATCGGAAACAGGCTCCAGGCTCCGAGCCATCAGCCCAGAGCCTGACGCGGGGCTCGAACTCACGGACCGCGAGATCGTGACCTGGCTGAAGTCGGACGCTTAACCGACTGCGCCACCCAGGCGCCCCAAGCAGTGGAAATCTTAAAAGAAGCCAGAGTAAAAAGACATGTTTCATACTGAGGAACAAAGGTAGCAGATTTCTCATTGGAAATAATGCAAATGAGAAAATAGGAGAGCACTGTCTTTAAACTACTGAACAAAAAGTACAGTCAAGCTAGAATTCTATGCCTAGTAAAAATATATTTCAAAAGTGAAGGCAAAATAAGAACTTTTTTCAGACACACAAAGATTGAAAGAATGGATAACCAGCAGACCCATAGAAGAAATGTTAAAGGAAATCTTCAGGCAGAAGGAAAAACATCAGATGGAAATACGGAATTACACAAAGGAATGAAGGGCACCGGAAGTGGTAAGAACATGGTCGAACCCACAAGATTTTGACTTATTACTTAAATCCCTGTAGAAAAGGGGCGCCTGGGTGGCTCAGGCGGTTGGGTGTCCGCCTTGGGCTCAGGTCATGATCTCGCCGTTCATGAGTTTGAGCCCCAGGTCCAGCTCTGTACTGACAACTTGGACCCTGCGGCCTGCTTCGGATTCGGTGTCTCCCTCTCTCTCTGCCCCTCCCCCAATCGCACTCTGCGTGTCTCTTTCTCTCAAAAATAAATAAAAACATTAATTAATTAATTAATTAATTAATTTAATAAGGAGCCCTGTAGAAGATACCTGTTTAACAGTTTACCTACCTACTTAACTACTAGAAATAATAAGTGAATTTGTCATCGTTGGAGGATAGAAGATCAATGTACAAAAAAAAAAAAAATCAACTTTATTTCTATGTCATAGCAATGAGGAATCAGAAATGGAAAATTTTTTAAACAGTACCATTCACAGCACATCAAAAATATGAAATATGGAGTTAAATCTGATCCCCCCAAAATGTGCAAGGGCTGACCCTG